CAGGGCCTGCTCTTTCCTCTCCTGCACGAACAAGCGAGCATGAGGGGAGGATGAGTAGGAGACATTCAGGCCGGAGGTAAACTCCAAACTTTGGCAGCCTTAAGAAGTGAGCTGTGCCCTTTTCAGGGATGGAGTAATTTACTTCCCTCCAGGAGCAAGAGGGAAGCAGAGAATGAGTGGTGACTTACTGAATTTCAATTAGGTCTGCTCTTAGAGGCTCGTAACCTTTGTACCTTCCTGCATACAAGGCTCTGTCTCGAGGCACACTTTCGTCCTAAGGAAATGAGACGGCAACCTTCTGAAAGCCTGACGTTAGCAAAGACACTTCATCTTCCATTTCCTGATGTCAGTTGTCGTTTCCATTTGGTGAGGATAATTAACTGGGCATTGGCAATCTGGTAGTTGCCAAGTCCACCTGAGAGTTAGACCCACGAAGAGAGTGCCTAACCTGCAGGACACTCCTGATGGAACCTATCTGATCACTTTGCGTTTCGTCTGCATGGAGAAGTAATGCTGGATCCGGGATTACCCTGGGCTGACAAGCAGAGCAATATGGTTTCTGTAATCCCAGCCAGGCTTCCAGGGAAGCTACACCAGGGCTGGTCCGGTCAGACCATGGCAGTTCTGGCTCTGCTGGGGACAGAACTGCCATTTCCTTCCCATCCTGGAAGTCCATCGAGAAGCCTCTGGTTCAGTTTAGGACTCTCAGATGCCTGCTGAGGAAAGGAGAGGTTAGATCTTCAGTGTGAACTTACAAAACACATATTCTATGTGTCTCACCAGTCAAAAGTTAGAAGAAGGTTTTTTTCGAACTTTTCCAAACATACCCTTTTGTTGGGTTGGAGCATGGGAAACTGGTGCCCCAAAGAGACATTACTATGAAGTCTGAAGATGCAGATTTGTCTTTGAAGTCCTACTGTATTTCAGGTTTGATAGAAACTACCACATTTATAAAGACTTCAGGCTTTGATGAAAAAAAAAAGTGCCATTTTGGAAAGCACTTGGGGATTTTTCAACATGACAGATGCTACTGTGTAAGTGTAAGACTATTATTTCCTTATATGTGGGTAGCTGTCTTATGAAAAGGTATTTTGACTTACGAAGTCACTGCAATAAAGCAGAATGTGCAGACACAATACTTGACTGCCCCCACATGCATATTTCACCTTTATTAAATCTTATTACAATTAAAACCTTAACTATTCTTTTTTAGCACAAACACTCTGTGTGTGTAAGAATACATACACCAGCAAGTAAGTCTTTCACCACATTATTAATCATCAAAAACAAGGATCAGTAAGAAACACATTTGCATTTTACCTCTAATTTCTTCTTTTTTCCCTCTTTTTTTTTCTTGCAGGCACAGCTTTCTCAGGCTTTAAATGGTGTTTCAGATAAAGCAAAGGAAGCTAAAGAATTTCTGGTTCAGCTGAAAAATTTATTGCAGCAGATCCAGGTAACTGTAGAATATTAGCTGTTTTGATAGTTCAGTAATCGATAGAACTGAGTGAATAATTTATTTGACGAGTTTGTTTCCTGTGCTATTCTCATCTTTCCTGGAATCATCTAACCTTTCTTGAATGGATTTGCTAGGCAAAATTATTCATCAAATAATGCCTGCAATCCTCTTTTAGCTTTTAGATTGTTTGCTGTTTATTGCAAGAAGCTGATACTCAATACTGGACATCTGAGCTGCGTTGATTAGTATTTGATTGAATCCATTGGTCATGCTTCTGGGCTCCTTCCTGACTGCAATTGCTCGAATTTGGGATAAGTTTTCATTTTAACACGTTCAAAATTTACTACTTGTTTTTCATCTTACATTTTCTAAAAATGTGCTTGTTTCTGGACCAAATCCAGTCAACCTGTTTGTTAGAGTATTTGTAGGAAGTCAAAAAAAAGAAGAAACAAATGCTGCTAAATCAATGTGGTCTTTTATTGAAGCAGAAGATGTTTTCATGCCTATAATTGCCCAGCTTTAATAGTCAGAAAAGAGCTCATGATGAGTGCAGTAATTGAGGGCACAAACCCCAAATGTAACAAGTGCAATTTTCAGCCAAATTTAGACTTGTCAGTGCTGAAGGTCAGATGATCTTCAAGGTCCTTCTCACCCTGCAGAGTGTGGCTGGAAATATGCTGTGGTAGTTTGAGCTGCACAGTGCCCAGGAGGGGACACTTGTTATCTGCAGCAGCGGTGCTCTGCAGCATTGGGTATTCTCTGGGATATATGTCACCTAGTCTATGATGTGCCCGCTCTGCTGCTTGCTCATCTTTCATCAACGAGCAAGTCTTGTTCCTGTTACTAGCAGAAAGCCACAGCAGAAGTTAGAAAATCTGTGTTTGGTTTAGAATTTAATCATTAAAATTCCATTTAACACTCCAGATGATGAAATTGTACCCCAAATGCTGCCCAAGCTCTCAGGTTGCTGCAGGGTGATGTGGCTAGCCACCCTCAGAGTCTTCTGTAGCTATGTGGGGAAGGGAACAAACCAAGACTGGGAAACTGGTAAAAAAAAGGCACATCTAACTGAAAGAAACCAGTCCGAAGCCACCAACTGGCACCTGTCACGTACCGTGTTTTAGACACAGTGTGATGTTTTTCTCAGCTGACTTTCTCTATTTAAAAGTTGTGTAGCTTATCTGACCTAGTCATTTAGGCATCTTGCATTCTCCAAGGAAGACATGCACCTCTAGAGAGCAGTTCTTCCTATAGGTATGAACAGCTATTTTAGGATGGAATAACTCATCCAAAACAGTAGTCTATCACCAATCTTTTCTTGAGTCACCTAGCTCCATTAAAAATGTATTTTTCCCTCCTGAGACCTAAAGGTGGCCTATTACAGCTATTTATGACTATACTGTAAAATCCTTTAATGTGTTTCAATAAAATCACTTCCAAATTGCTCTGCATAAGGGAGCTGCTACAATTAGATCAAAAGACCAAGCCATTTCTTTGATTCTGCTCATTGCTTGAAATGCTAGAGGAGAGCTCAGAAGAGGAAACTGTATCCAGCGATCACCCTCTAACATTTAGGCATGTCTGGACACAAAGCTGAATTTGACTCTCACACGTTGAGCTAGTCCCTAACAAGAGTCTGAGGGAGGACATCACATTTCAGCAAACCAAAACAGCAGGACTGATCAGCTGCATAGGTATGCCTAACCAAAACAAGGTGAGGGCACTGCTCTGAGACAATCATCACATGCTTTAACCCTTAATGAGCTCCCTGGCATGGTTTTCTCCTGTGGCAAATTGCGCTCTTCCCAGGTGATGCTCAAGCAGCATTTGATGATAGCACATACCAGGGAATACTACTGGTAGGCAGATTTGGTACAGCCATGCTATCTGAGGGGAGAAAGTTTAGATGTGTCATGAGCTGATCTGGGCCTTTTGGCATCTGGGCCAAAAAAAAAGGTTCTTGGACTGTTATTTGCGGCGGGATAGATGTAGCCTTTGTGTGTAGATTTATACCCAGAACCGTGTATCTCAGAGCAGGTTATTTCTAGTAGAAGTCTTATGATGATGGCCATACACAGATACAGCCATTTATCCCTCAGCAAAAATGTCTTTAAAATGTATGTTTACACAAAAGAGTGAGCAATATTACATTTTATTATCCTGTTTTAATGCACAGCAGACCAGACAGCCATCTGCATTCTTTATCTTCTCTCTGAGTTTGCCAGATACCAGGAACAGTGCTTTTATCTTGCCTGGGGCAGTTTGCAAACCCATAATCTACTTTTCTTTTCCCTACTTTGCAGATCTGTTGTTTCCCCTCTTTTTTTCTCCCCTTCTCCTTTCTGGGGTCACTTTTAAATCTCTTGGTCTTTTCTTTTCAGAAACTGCCTGTTCTTCATTGCCCCTGTTGCTTCCTTGCTCCTCCTTATCGCTGTCATTATCTGATTTTCACATTTTCCCATCTGCTGTAACAATTTCATCCTTTCTCACTTGAAAGAGGCATATCGCCAAACACCTCATTTGATGTGTGAACAGAAAATGAGGAGAGAAATGATGCGCTACAGCCATCGACTGATCCAGGCTCTGTACACAAACCAGCGCTTCAAGAGTAGCTGGATGGAAACGGGCTTAAGAGGGAGTTGGGTGTGATATAAGCCGAGGAGGGAGAGAGGCAAACAGGGAGAGTCTAAGACAAACCCATGAGCAGTAACTGAGCCGTCTGGTGTCTCTCCCCCCACTCATCTTGCTGACAGATCTAGGGCTGTGGCAGGGGCCTCTCAGGGAAGAGTCGCTCTGCGTCCCTCAGCTGTAGAACAGGATGAATGGAGTGGGAAAGTGAAAGAGTGCTGAAAATTTTGCTCCCCAAAGAATGAAGGCAAAGCAATGAACAGAAAAGAAGGGAAAAGCAAAAGAGCTAAGACATAGTAATGAGTTAGGGGCGTGTAATGGCTTACCATAGAGATGCTTCTTCTTCAGTACATGTTAAAAATCTTCTCACATTTAACGCTGCTTCTCTTTTTCTTATTTGGGTATTTGGGAGGAAAGCTGCTAGGACAACTGAACATCTCGTGAAAAGAGGAGCTTGAACAATTTTTCCTTCTTCTAGTCTCACGAGCAGAGGAAGTGAGGGAGAGGCTCCCTTTGAATGGGTGCTGCAGCATCAGTTCCACAGCCAGAGAAAGCCATCTCCAGGAGGAGGGGCAGCTTAGGACCTTGTAGTACAATCTACTCAGATTTCTACAGCTGCAGTGGGATTCTGTGGTAGCATGGTTTGTTCCTCACTGATAGGACAGGGCTTTCTGATACCCAGGCCCTGTGCATGGCTCAGTGGGGACAATTGTTTTATACTTCACATGCTGGCCCCTGCCTACGACAGAATAAAAAGCTGTCATGTTTTTTTGTTTGTTTTTTTTAAAAAAAAAGCTAATCAAATGCATGTCTCTGCTGCAAAGCGCTAGCTATTTTTTAAAAAGTACTTGAAGCAATACACAAAATCTCAGGGCTTTTACCTGATTAATTTTCTTGTAATAAGCCTGTAGACCAGTTTCTGGTCAATAATTCTCTTCTAATTGTCATGGTGTGGGACCAGTGATTTCAAAGTTGTTACAGTGGGATAATTATAAGAGAGGGAGCAGAACCATCTTACGTATATCTATGCACTGTGTATGTTAGGTTTAGATTTTACAATATGCTACGTCTGTTGTCTGGAAAGTGCCAGTAAATCAGCATTTTAAATAAGCCCGTTTTGTGGGATGGCATCTTACTGTTTTGTTTTATAGCATGCAGCTATTACTGGTACAGCTGTAATGAAATCAGAAAGGTAACAGAGATCCCAAAGCCTTGAAAGGAAATCTTTTCCAAATGGAAAACTGGGTAAGAATGAACAATAGCTTAAGATGTAAAGTATGCTTTCTTTGATGAGTATGACTATTGCCTTCTTCTAGGAGAACGGGTTGGATTATGAAGCCTGTCTTGTCGCTCAGTGTGATGCCTTGGTTGATGCGTTAACACGACAAAAGGCAAAACTGCTCACAAAGGTGACCAAAGAACGTGAGCACAAGCTGAAGGTGAGCACAACTCTCATCATTTGAGCACGGCTGTTGATATCTGGCATTGCTGTGCCTTTGCCAAGTCCCCAGCCCTCTACCTCGTGAAAATTCTTAGTGATGAAATTCTAAAGTCCTTTCAGTGGATTCCAGTTCAGCAGTTTTGTGGAACTGTGCTTTTACACTTAAAATGAGGTATATACTTTAGCGGTTGTTGACTTGGGCCATCAGTCTTTATTTATCTGATGGTTTGAGGCTGGCTTTTGAGAGGTGCTTGTCAGTGAAACTTGTGTATGGTTTGGATTCTGGGACCTTCCAAATGCAAGAAAGCCGAAGCAAGATTTTGGGATTTTGGTGTCGCTTGAAACCTTTGAAATTCAGGCAAGCCACCTCCAGAGATCCATGTGCTTACTCAAAAGATATTAAAGAAATTCAGTAAAGGGGGGTGGAGGAAGAAAGCTATAAATGGTTGAAGAAAGTGACAGTCAATAAATGTTTAAATAGACACGTTTCTTGAAATGTTGAACTGCATACATGATTTTGAGGTATTATAGTGCCAGTAACATTAATAGTATCCAAGACAGAATGAAAAATTAAAGTGAAGAATCTAACATGACAAACAACTAATAAAATCTACCTGAGATCAGCATTTAAAAACCCCTATGCTTAACAAGAACCAACACTTAAGAAATACTAGTAACAGCACAGCTAATCCTGGATCTTATTCCTGTTAGGCTGTTGTACCTCAGGACTTGTGCTATCAAAGACAGTGCGATTAGGCCTAGTCTACAGCCATGTGGCAGCAGAATCAAGTCCAAAATCTGGAGAAATTAGATGCAGCTTTTTTATTTCTTAATCCTAGCAATGCATTCTTAAGCAGAGCAGGATCAAGGGTGAATTGTGAAGACAACAGTAGAGTATAATCCGCAAGAAACCGCTCCTGCAGTTTTCCTCTATAATACTTATCTTTTAAGTCAAAGTTTTTCAAAAGCTCAGATTTTAATGAAAGATTGTAAATGTGAATGCTGCAAATGCAGAAACATGTGCTGTGCTTTTTCTGCCCTGAGCAAGCCTGATCTTTGAGCAATTAATCTGCTCTGAAAATTGCGATTCCCTATGCACAACGTTTTACCAAGCTAATTATTGGTATTTACAATACAGAGCTAGTGAGTGTAGCTGATGGAGATATGGCAATGGCCATATGGCAGCTAAATTAAGCATAGCTTTAACACACTCTTCTATTCGTTGTCTATTCTGAAATAATCTTATACAAATCACTGGAAGCTGAGGCAGTCATCAGAATTGTATTGATGCTTGTTTTCCAGGTTGTTTGGGACCAGATAAATCACTGTACACTGAAACTACGCCAGTCAACGGGGCTCATGGAGTACTGCCTGGAAGTTATCAAAGAGAATGATCCCTCTGGGTTTTTACAGGTATTTTTCTTTTTGATTTTCTGGAATAAAAAAAAAAAAGACAAGACGTTAAAGTTAAATCTAAAAATGGATGGCTTTGCTAATTAGCCTCTTCCACCTCTGGGACAGGTTCACCTTAACTCCTGTTAGTGCTGTCTAAAAGCTCAGATAGCCTGGTGACTGCATGAATGTCCCAGCAAAGGGATGGCTTTGAACAGTCGCACTCTGACCCAGGTATGGAGTTGTCAGTCGTACCACTTCCCCGACTGCTGATGTCTTTCCTCTTGCCAGCCCTTCTTGCTGGGCTGGAAGAGAGATGCTATCCAGTTAATGATAACTTTCTGCGGAATATGATTTTATTCTCATCTGAGAAACCCAACACAGGGCCTCACAGAACTCTCTGATCAATTTGGGAAGGTCTACGACTCAGGAGAGTAGTACTTCTCCCCTTTTGCTTCTCCCCTTTGCATTACTCTTCACCATGCAAAAGAGGCCTTTGTGTCTTGTAGCTGGAGGATCCAGGTATCCCCTCTTTGCAAAATAGGGCCTAGCCAACAAGTGCCTTTATTTGCAGGGTATCATTTCTTAGGTGCAAGCAGTGAAAGTGTCTATTGATGAGATAAAACATAACGGCTTTATTATCCAATTAATTATTTTGCCTAATTAATTATATTACTTTTATTAATTATTTTGTTTTTCCCTATTAGTTTTGTTGCCTTATTAATCGCCTAAGAAGAAAGGCATATTAAACAAAATGATCTGCACATGGCTGTCAGCTGAACAGGGCAAGCTATACACATATGAGTGTATGAGTGTCAGGGGGCTGTCACACCATCCCTAAAAAACAGGATGAGAATTAGCCAACTTAAACCTATTAGCACTCCAGATTGATTGTTACTGTCACGTCTGGTCTCAAGCAAGAGTGGGAATGTGTGGTGTATATTAATCTCAAGAGTACGCAGATTTTAGCAGGCTGTCGGTTGGAAACTGCAGGACGAATGAAACCTTTAGGTCTTATCTACGTGCTAGCTAGATACATCCTTCGTTTTCCTTTCAGCCTACTTTTCCTGTAACCTTTGTGGCTTCATTCCTTGCAGTCATCTTTCATAAAAAATACTTTTGTTTTTACCTTTTCCTGGTTTATCTAATGATGCTTTCAAGGCAACCAGCAAACACTGAGGCACTGCGTTACTTAGAGAAACTGCTCCTGCGGCCAGGACATTGAAACACAGCCAGGGGATCACAGTAGGTGACGCCAAGGTTGTAGGAAGGCTATGAGACACTCCTCCACTTACTGAACAGACTGAGTAGGAGCTGTTGATGTAAGGGCTCAGACAGGAGTGTCTTCCAGTAACAGTAATGAGGAAAAGGTATCTGTACTCCTGCAATAAAGAAAAACTCTCTCTGACCTATCCAGAAGAAAACTCTCCTCCCTATGACTTACAGGAAGCTCACTGGGAGGGACTCCAAATGCCCAAATGGCAGCTTTGCTGAACTCAGGGACAGCTGAGTTCATTGATTTCCACAGAGCTAGGATTTCACTTCCAGAAGAGTCCATTGTCATCATCTTAGTCTGACTTGCCTGTGGACTGAGCCAGAGCAAAGCTTTAAAAATGAAATTCAGTTTTGATGTAATGGTAGAAAACCCATCAAATTCTTAGAAAATCTATCTGACAACTTAGCACCCTCACTGTGAGAAATATACACTTTCCTTCTCGTTTGATTTTTTATTCCTTTTAGCTTTCACCCACTGAATCACCTCTGCTGAATGGAGAGACCCTCTAACATTTAAGCCTCTCTTTGTGCAACTGTGTTTTAAACAGGAGAGCAAAACTAGACTGTGCAGATCAGAGAACAGAGTGCAGAAGTATATATGGCATTCAGAGGCATGATACATAACATAATCTCAGAAGGCTTTTTAAATGTGATTTTTACTTTCTTACCCTAAAATGAGATTTGTTTTGAAAAGGTGAGACAAAAGGATGCAACATAAATGAACCTCATCCCAAAATGACCAGATCCTATCTCAGCTGTTGTGCTGTCATACTCCTGCTTTCTTTGTGCTGTATCTCACAGGCATTCTATCACTTCTAACGTGTGCATCTGCCAGTTAATTATAAGCCTGATACTCTCTTTCAGATTTCGGATGCTTTAATCAAGCGTGTTCAGATATCTCAGGAACAGTGGGTCAAAGGAGCCTTGGAGCCAAAAGTGTCTGCGGAGTTTGACTTGACTCTGGATAGTGAACCTTTACTGCAGTCAATTCATCAGCTGGATTTTATTCAGATGAAATGTAGGGGTGAGCTTTTATGATTTTCTTTTTTCAATTTTTTGTGCATGTGTTGAAACAGTGTGGGGAGGGACAGGGGTGCAGAGGAAGGAAAGGCGAATGACTTAAAATTGGTGGATAGTTTTAAAAAGTTTGCAAGCAAATTCAGATTACTGGATGTTTCCTAGAAAGTTGTGCTCACTTCATATGCAGTGACCTGAACAAGCTCAGAAAGACATACCAAGTGCAATTAAAGATTTGAAAAGATAAATTCTTCAGAGTAGGGCTATCCATCAGCTTTGAAGATTAATAAGACATTAGTTGCGTGAAACTTTATGTCATTTTACAGCGTTCCTAGATTTAACATGGTTAGTTCAAAATATCAGTTACCCTTGTCTTGTCAGGAGCAGCTGAAGTAGTAAATAAATATTCGCACACACACACATATGCTTAAATAGGCAAAAAAAAAACCCCTTTGTCTTATATTTAGATTGTGCTGCGAACAGTGCCCAGCTTAAAAAAAAAAAATCATGAGGCAGAGATTCACAAAGGGAAGGTAGCTCCATGTAGCCTATACCCTGCCTTAATTCCGGGTATCTGAATGATTCCGAGGGACACACTAAAGCGAAAGGAGGTTAAAAAAACTATTTAAAAGCAGGAGCTGATGAACAGTAGATGCCATTGGCAAAAAAAAAATATTAACATCATGTGCTTGTAATGAGCTTGGTTTATATGGAGCAGGATGAGAACTGCATCAGAATTAGGTAGATCCATAGACTGGCTAGATCTGAAGGCCATTGTGGTCCCTGGGAATGATGCCATTAGCTTCCCTCAGTGGTGATTCAAACCTTAATTATACATGTGGGTGACAGGGTAGAGGCTGCCAGAAGTCAATGCATGAGCCGAGGATAATCGTGTCGTGATGTTGGATGTGCTTTTTTTTACTCCAAGCAAGCACACGGATTTCTGTTCAGTTTATCTGTTCTCTCTGGGCCTAATTCTGAACCTAAGACACCCAAAAATGAAGTAATTAGGGTAGATAATTTGGCAGATAAGTATGTGGAGAAACAATGGATAAACAGTTAAAGGCCAAAGTCTGCTCACCAAGAGTGGTTTGCGTCTTGGCATAAACAGGCTGTGTTAAAGTTACTCAGAAAATACCTGTGAACTGCTCCTTTGAAATGTTGACAGCCAGGAAAGCGGAGTCAAGAAAGAAAAGAGTATCACTGATTAAACTTCTCTGAATACTGTCTGCACTTGTCTTTTTAAATCAGATTATATTTAATGCTGGCTACATTTATTGTTAAATATATTTAATACTAATCTTCCACCACTCTCCTTCCCAAACGTATAAAGAATTTAGTTCAACTATCCACTTAGATTGCTAATTAACCACAGGTCACTTGAGGTGAGAGCAGCTTAGGTGTTTGGCTTTTGGACATTCATCTGGGTTTAATCCTGAAGACTTACAAGACTTTAATTGAGCCAGATTCACTGAAGCTTTATGAAAGATAGTGCTGTCTGCTACACTCTTGTTTATCAGACAATGGCAGTGAAGCTCTGGTACTGACCTAGGCACAGTCTGAGGAGCAGAGAAGAAGACAGGTCTGCTTCTGCCCAAACCTGCACAGACCTTATGAACGCCCTTGGGCTTTGCTCCCCAGAGGCAGCTTAACAGTTAGCCCTCAGGAAGGGCTTTTCCTTGAGCTGTCTTGGCCTTGACGAGGGACTTCCTATCGCACGTTCCGTCAGGTTGCTCAGCACAACTGACGTGACCATGTACACACCACGCAAAGTGGTGGAAATGGCCTTAACCTGGCTGTCATTCCTGAAGGTGCATAAGAGATGGCATTATTCCCCCTTGTGCCTCTATGTGCCTAAGGAGAACAAGCCATCGACTGCTCCCAAGCTAACATTCATAGGTATTGAGGATTGTTTAGTGTATAGAGGTGTATTTATATTTTTCGGTTTATGACAGCAAATCTATTTGCATTTGAACTGCTCAGTCTGACACTTTGGCATTATTTTTCTGAATTATACCTCAATGAACCCAAGCAGCTCTGCATTATCTTCTCATGCATAGTGGTCTTTCATCTAGAAATATAGGTAGCATAGAGTAAGCAACTCAGCATGTCAGCAGTAAGCACCCAGACTTATTGGGAACATCACTTTTCTGACTGTGAGGAGAAGCTGGTGTTGCAGGGCAATGTTTTTCTATTTATCACCATCAAGACTGGTATATTTTTGAGCCTCCAATTTCACAAAGAAAAATCTATGTCTCTGTTCACATCTGCTCCTCTTTCTCCAATCCTACCTACCCCAGTGCACCAACAAGTCATCAATCTTTACCAAATGTTGGTGTTGAGAGGAGTGTTATTAAGTCACCACAGTGGTTGATCTGGCAAGAGTAGATGCATTAAAGATATCAGAGATGATCTGTAAAGGGAGTTTTGGGGAAACCTAGGAGAATAGGGCCAGCATGGCTTTTCCAACTGCAAGTTGTTTCGTTTCAAAAGCTTTGCAATGTAAGGTCTGTACTATTGTTATCGATGCTTAGTGCATGACTGAATTTCTATGTTTTTTTTCAAACTCTGGCCTCATTCAACCTCAGCGAGCTTGCACGGGTCATTTAGAGTGAAAGCTTGCTTGTAAGTAAACATTGATTCACTGTGTTAGACAAAGAAGAATGAAAATGAGAACAAATCACATTACATTTGCTTTGATGACTTGTTCATGTACCTTACTGATGAGCTTTGTACAAGCCTATATGTAAAGCTAATCTCAGTAAATAAAAACCAGGGAGTGTTTTTTCTTTCTTACAGAAAGAAAAAGCAATTTGGTACCAAATTAAATGTGCAAGGTGCCAAAATGTGATAGGTGCAGGAGTAATGCTTAGGCAGTCACGTTGACCAGAGGGTCTCACTGGTAGCCCTTTGGCATGAGTCCCATGCTCCCCGGGCTAGCTGACCTGCTGAGACACACGCACAGCTCTAGTACTTGCCGGCATTTTGAGCTTTCCCAGATCTCTTTCCTCTGTCCATGTTTTCTTCTCTCTATTGCTTTTCCTGGGTGCCTCAGCACAAAATTCCTGTCCTCTTTGATGACTGGCTCAATGTGTATGCCACATTTCTTCAGTGCAAGCTATGGACACAGGCAAATATGTGTTGCAGATTTGTTTTCTTCAGACAGCTGGAACTGTCATGCAGTCTTGGTTTGTTGTGAAATGGAGGCTGGAAAAAAATGAGGAAAAAACGTAGCTACCCTCTCCTTTTCTGTACCACCTCTGAATACTCACTCATATGCCCCTTCTCCTTGTCAGGAGTGACTCCTTCCCTCTGCTGCAAACCAGTCCATGAAGACTCCCCAGACGCATCTTCTGCTACAAATCTTCTCTGCTTCTGCAGCCATGAGTTGCACGGAACTGGTAGTGAAAGTCCACTGTTCCATCGTGGACTTTATCCCTGGTTCTGTCTGCTCTGTGTCATGGACCCAGGTCTTTGCCTATGGTCTCTCCTTCTCTCTCGATAGCACTGTTTGCAGGGCACTTGCTACAGGAGTGATTCAGGCTATTACAGGGCCATACTGCAGTTTTAGAGGAGGTCAAAGTTTTCATGCTTCTTAGGGTCTCGCTCTTTCACTGCATTTAGCCCTTTAAAAATTAATCTGGGAAGGTGGAGGGCATCATTGCACAACTTGCTTGTCAAGAGAACAACTAACAGACAACATCTTAGAGCAGCCCAGCTCTACCCTGAGAGGAGATCAGCTGTGAGATGCATTGAGCAATGCATTTTTGAAACCACTGAGTTGACACTAGATAAACAGTATCACATATTTTAGGTAAGTGTGACCCACATGAAGCACTTTTAAAGTAGCAGAACATCATTCAGACTCATTAATAGGTCTTGCTGTGCCAATGCGATATCATTTCACCCTTTATATTTTTAATCTTTCCCTTCAAAAACTCTCTAGAGGACTTTAAGTTGAACGAGAAGTGGGACAGCACTGTAATTTAACATCTAAGTCTTCTTTTTTTTCTGACAGTTAGTTTATATTTTTCTTTTCTTAGTCCTGTCCCATCGCTCTTCACCATGAAGTATATTCCAGTGTCCCGATTATTCAACTCACTTCACACTTTCCTATGACTTTTACAAGTGTCATAAAATCTCTGCCCATCCACGTCCAGGGGAGGAGGCAGGAGGGCAGACACGGTGAGCGTCATCCAGCAAAGCTGCACAGCAGCTTAGGGAGAGCATCCTACCCTTCCTTCAGCTACTGTAGGTTGTGCAGTTGAGGCCACAGGCTGCCCAAAGGGAGTAGGAGGCTGATAAGGGTTACTCACAAAAACTTAAAAGTCCAGTGACACAGTAAAGAAGCCCAGGCACTTCCCCATGGTATGCGTGGCTCTCACACATAGGGCCAAGATTCATACTGCCCCTGGGAAGTGGGAATAACAGCACTTTTCTGTATGAAAATGTATTGTACTCCTAGATAGCATTTCTGTTTCCATAATTAAAGGGGACTCGTAAAACACTTACCCTCCCCCAAAAATTCTACTCTTTTTTTTTCAGCATTGTGCATTAAGTGAACGGTCCCTGAAATCCTCCCACTAGTGTTCCTAGGAGATTTTTGCAGGGGGTTGGAGAAATTAGTGTTCAATTCAGAGGTGAGAGGGTGTTGTCTATTTTGGACTTTATAAACTTCAGAAATTAAGTTTTCATCCAGTTTTGCCAGGGGGAGTCTCAGAAGTGGGGAGGACCCAGGAAATGCCTCTGAGAGGTTTAACCAGTTAGCTAAAATGGTGGGAGCATGGATGGCTGATACAGCCCTGTCTTCTCCCAGGCTCATCGGTCACTGGAAATACACAGGCTAACAAACACAGAGAAACCCACAAACTTAAAATGGTTCACTTAAAAAATCCCATTACTTCGTAATTCCACGTTTTCAGGTTTTTTTCTCTTGTAATGTCACTTTTCTGTTATTTCTCCAGACACAGTGTCTCCTAGAGAAAAGTCTGAACTTTCCATGTGAAAAAACAAGCAGGTTTTTATTTATGACACCTTTTGAATCATCCTTAAATATCAAGGAATAGGAACAAGGCTTTTATTTTCTCTTTTCACAGAAAAACCTTCAAGAGCTAATTTATAAAGCTCTTTTGTTTCAGAGCACAGTCATTCTTCTGGGCTACCAACCATCTGCGCTCACTGTGGTGATGGGTAATGCCAGCAGAAAGCCACGGCAGCTTCTGCGCTGTTTGTCACAAGTGTGATGTTGACTTTCGTGTCACTTCCAAAGTGGGGGTGAAGCCTTAGCCTCATCATGCAATAGCATCCATTTTCCCACAGACTGTTTGTTATACAAAACGTGAACAGTCCTCGTTTATCCAGAGAGGTAAAATAGGACAAAAGGAACAGCTTGAGGGCTTAGCTCTCACGAAGACAGAGGGAGGAAAATAAACGAGAAGCTCAAAGTGGAGTAGATAAAAGAAGAGCAAACTGACATTGTTAAGAGCTAAGTCAATGAATCCTCAAAGCACTCAGCTTCTTGCAAGACACAGAAATGATCCTGGACGGTGAAATTCAGCCTTGGGCAGAAGACCAGGCAGGGTCTATGCATCGCTTATATCCCACTTAACCTGTGCAATTTCAGTGGTGTGTAAGATACGTGCCAGATCTCTCCAGAAGACAGAATTTCACTTTATAATTCCCAGCAAAGAGTGAACGGTGAGAGTTTAGTTGTGCTTAGCAGAGAAGATGTGGACTTCTTTCCCATAGAGGCATGGATGAATGTTTTACTCTGTTTATTTTTATTTTTAAGATGCTGGTCTGGTCAACAGCCTCTTGGTGTTTTTCCTGGGCAAGTCACTAAACAGGCATCTTGACATATAACTTTGCACCCATAATTTCTGAAAGGAGAGAGCCACAAGCAGTCTCTTGTGGTGCAGAAGTTCCTTTTGCTACCTGAACCAAGGGGTTTAGATAAAATTTGCAGATGGAAGAGTTTTCTTCAACAGTTTATTTCAAGTATGGCTGCCATGCAGATAACGTATCCAAGGTGATTTTGGTGAAAAATTGGGGGTGGAAGTGTTAAATTAAAAAAAAAAAAATATTATGAATTGTTTTTCTGCTGTTGGTGGAGTTCAGGCTCTATCTCACCACCGGGCTGGAAGGAGTGGCTGCTCTGCTGGTTAATAACCCAGTTCTTCATTAATGAGCTGGCCTTCCTGGCAGCACTGCATCTCCCATGCTGCCCCGTGGCCCGAGACACCCCCTGCCACCACTGTTCCCTCTCTCATTTTGAGGACAGCGGGGAGCAAAGTGCTCTAGCGTGAGAAAACACTCTTCCAGCCAGTGACCCCTGGGAAGGAAACCAGATGTGAGGTCCCCAGACTGTAGTTCTTATGAGGCACCAGAAGCATGTCCAGATACGTTTCTGTGTACATATTTCAGCCAAATGATTTGTCTGACCGAGTAACGACGTTTTGTTACATCGTTTTTGCTGCCTTTTGTTATAAGGAAGGGAACGGACTGTCTTCCTAAGGAATATCGACTCCCTTGCGAGGGGAGGGAGGTGAGCGGTCGCCATACTGCCCGTGGCACAGATTGACGGGGTAGGGCAGAGTTACACTAATCTGTACCCAGTTCCTGTTACAGTGCCACCCGTCCCGCTACTGCAGCTGGAGAAGTGTTGCACCAGGAACAACAGTGTGACGTTGGCCTGGAGGATGCCACCTTTGAGCCACAACCCGGTGGAGGGTTATATCTTGGAACTTGATGATGGAGATGGTGGCCAATTCCGAGTGAGAATTTCGTTCAGCATTTATTTGTGTTTCTTTGTTTATGAGTTTCCTCAGGATATGGATTCGTGTCTGTCTGAGGGTGGGGAGAGGGGGTTGGGAAGATACGGGATGTCAAAACATCCCTGCTTCCGTCATGTGGATGTAGAAAGCCCCAGGTGCAGACACCGCTTATTAGAAGGACCCCCAGCTTGGGTAGGAGGTTTGGTTGAGTTTTTTCCCGGGGCTCTGGCAAAGAGGGACTTGCTGAGGTGAAATGTGGAATTTCAAGTCACTACTGCATCTACTGTGTGGTCCCCCTGGAGCGTACCACAGCAGAAAATTCCATACTTGCCTACAGGGGCTGAAAACAGTTCATTCCACAAACCAGGGATTTCTTTGAAGCCCCTACTCTCATCTGTCCATAGCACCCCATTTCAACAGCTGAGATTCTTGGTCCAGAAATGCAATGCAATTTTTCCTGGTTTTCTGAGTAAAAATGAGATCCTGCATAAAAATACGGGATTTCTAAATCTATTCCCTGAGAGTGGATGAGACCAAGCTGATGGAAGCTTTCTGCAGACATGCTGTGATGGGGTTGGTAAGTATGGGAAAGCATCCCAAGTGCTGTCCTTCCAGACCCTCAGGGTGATGCCACAACTGCTTGCTCCTGCCTGCAGTTGCAGGCTCCTGTCCCTTCTCAACACATCCCGATTAAACAAACTACAGAAATAATCCAGTCGGCTTTCTGCGAGCCATGTCCCTTTGGAAGCTGTGGCCCTTCCTCCTCAGGCAGGCTTCATGCTCCTGTTGCTCCAGGACTGGGCTGGCCCAGTGCATTCCGGAGGGGCTAGTGCCTTGAAAGCAGCTGGAGATCTTTGTGGAGAACAGCTGCTCTCTTCAGGAATGGGAAATTTTGCCAAAAACATGTGATGACATTTCTTTGAGAGCTGCAAACTGGCTTCTTGCTAGAAACCTAAAGGTTTCTCAAGCTGAAAATGGCCTGGCACGAGTTCACCTGAGGAACTGCCTCCCTGTGCCAAACTGCTGCACCCATAGCCAGCAAAGGCACCTGACTGGGACACCCCTTATTAGAAGAGACAGTGATATTGGCAGGGCATTTTGAAGAGGGCACTGTGTTTCTGGAAGGTCTCCTCAGTTCCTTAGTCCAAATATCATTTCACATGGGTTTGAAGAGGCTGGTCTCCATGACTGAAAGTGTGAAAAGGTACCTTTGTGAACGGCTGCTGGGAGCTGCCGATATAGTTAGTGTTAGTAGGTAAGAGTGTTATCAGTGTGTGATGAGCGAAGACTTAGGAACACGATGTTATGAATTCCAGTGTCTTGGATAAGCCTTTTCAAGGGTTATTCACATCTAAATAAATACTTGTGAATAAACAAGATTTCAGGCGGGTGCATATCCAAGCCCATTTGTGTGGGAGGTTTTGTAACAGGCAAAGGTTTTAGGACTGCTGGCACTGCCATGTCAAGATTTTGGATTGAAAAAGACGCAAAACCATCACAATCCTTAAAAATCTAGGGTGATAGCTTCTCAGGGGAACACTTTTCTTGCTGTGGTAGAAACACTCTCAGTTTTACCCATTGAAAGATAGACTGCAAGCTTCTCAGCAATGCTATTTCAGTAAGAGTTTGCTGACCCTTTTCGTGAAAGATTATATGTTTGAAAGCAGTAACACTGACTGCACTTTATCAGTATTCGCTGGATGGATTTAAAGAACAGTTTTTGTCTCCCATCGTAGCAGAGACCATCAATCTCAATAAACACAATCTGTGAACAATGGTAAAAGTATGAAATGGATTAGAAAATGGGAAAGTTGTCCTACAAATACGACTTTTTGCACAGACAGCGTATGTTATGACATGGAGATAAATTAAGCTCTTCTATTAAAACTCTTCTTTCTCTTCATGAAAGATCATCAGTTACCTCAGGACACAAGAGATTTTGTTATTTCTAACAGCTGCCGTGGTAGCAAAGTGAACAAAAACATGGCCTGCTGCAAACTTAAGTAATCCCTTTCTTATTCATCACATAATTCACTTTAGGTTCATATCAAAGAGCCTTAATCAACAGGACTACTCTTAGGCATATACTTAAGTGTATGACCTGGGGCCCGACTGGTCTGCTTAGTCATAGCCTTAAGCTCTTTAGGGCCTTTGCTACGATAAATCTGTGGATTTCACAGGATTGAAGAAATTGGAGGTGAAAAGGAATTCTGGCTTTCAGCCCACTGCCAAGACAGCATTTTTTCCTTTTCTGTCATTTTCTATTCAGTTTCCCAACAAACATGAGGTTTCTACACTTCTTTCAGTTCATTGTAGAGTGTATGATCAGACTGATCCTCTTCATTAGCCTGCGTAGATATTCCTCCTCCTGAAATATTTCACATTATACAAGTGCTTGCTATTTAATAAGTCTTTGCAGACTTTTATGTTGTCTCTGTTGTCTAGTTGCTGTTTCATCATGTGATGCATGCGATCCTAATCTTTAGGAGATGAGTTTCTTCTGGCTCTGTGCTTGCGGGTTTCAAAATTATATTTTAACACAGGCATGAGATGGTCTTTCCAATAGAATAAACCTGTGCTTACTTGTTTTTTTTTTCTTCCACGCTCCCCTTTTTTGGTCCTACATAAATATAAGAATGGCCATGGTGGGTCAGACACTGGGACTACTACCCAAAATAGTGTTTTGCAGTAGATGGTTAGGAAAAGAGCATAAAAAGCAAGATCTTTCTGTGTTGCCCTTTATTGCTGTACCCCCTTCCAGCTTCATCTTCGCCTTAGTGTCTCCACTGCTAACCATCCTTGATGCCTTCACTGCTGTGGCTGTCCATGTTATAACAGCATAACTGCTACATCCTGGGAAGCAATGAGAAGCTGTTCACTTGTGGCTTATATTTAGAAATCTTAACATGTGATCACAAGGCACAGAGAAACAGTTAAACTATGTCTCTCTTTCTCTCTCGGTTTTTTTTTCTGGAATGTTTAGGAAGTGTATGTTGGCAAGGAGACTCTCTGTACCATCGATGGCCTTCATTTCAACAGTACCTATAATGCAAGAGTCAAAGCTTTCAACTCATCAGGAGTTGGCCCTTACAGCAAGACAGTTATTTTACAGACGTCAGACGGTGAGTTGGGTTTTTGCCAGTTTCTAAGTGAAAAACTTCATGTCTTAGTGGCCGGACACTTGCATCCCTTCATACCCACTAGTATCTTTGGCACTTACTGACATGGAGATTTTGGATCATCTGAGCAGAGAGGCCAGGAACTGAGTATGCACAGGGACTGAACTCTCCTTGCACTTTTGGGGATTTTCCATTGTCAGTAACACTTCAGGTTTCAAATCGTGCAGTTTTATTTGGCTGTAGAAGTTTGAGGTCTAACTAAGATTCTTATAGCATATAGAAGCAGTTATGCAACGCACAGGATATTTTTGTGCCGCTCTGTCTCCACTTCTCCATGTATCTTTTGAATTTGCCTTTTTCTTCACTGCTGCTTCAATTTCACAGCAAGGTTTGATAATACAGAGATGGGAATTCATGCTTATTCTTCTGTAATTATACTTGACATCCATACGGGCGTTACAAGAAGTTCATCTTCTTTAACGATATTGTAATGAATCAGGAAGTGCATGCTATTATCACTTTCACTTTTATGCTGTGTTGCCAAAATAGGCCAGTATAAAATATTTATACTTTAACAGCTTTTTCTGTTGTTTTTCTTTTTTCTTTCATTTTTTTTCCCCTTTGAAAAACTAGTGAAGTCAGTTCTAACCAGCACAGACACAGTGGAACTCCATTTCGATTAAAGGCCATCCCGAACCAATTCACCTGTGTGAGCAGTTTCCATATGAGGGAGAAGCCTTTGTCTCCTCAATGACTTTCTTGTTACTGTGTCAGAACACAGAGTCACCGCCCTTAGCAGCTTACGTTCAGAGGAACAAGCACAGACAATATAAGGCACTTCTGAGCTGAAAAACAGCAGGGTACCAGCGTAAAGCAATCTTGTGTAGCTGCCTACGGTAACGAGGAAAGATTGTCTTTATCACCTGCAAGTGCAGTGTGGTCTTCAGGAAGGCAGAATCTCATTCTCCTAATTGAAGTAAAGCAGATGTCACTTGAACTCAGCCTGTTCTGCCGTAATCCTGCCTTTTCATTTTCCCCTTCCACAGTGGCGTGGTTCACCTTCGACCCCTCCTCAGCTCACAGAGACATAGTGCTGTCGAATGACAACCAGACAGCCACCTGCAACAGCTACGATGACCGGGTTGTTCTTGGCACAGCAGCCTTCTCCAAGGGCGTGCATTACTGGGAACTGCATGTGGACCGGTATGACAACCATCCGGATCCAGCCTTTGGCATTGCAAGGATTAACGTCGTCAAGGACATGATGCTAGGCAAGGACGACAAGGCATGGGCCATGTACGTCGACAACAACCGCAGCTGGTTCATGCATTGCAATTCTCACACCAATCGGTAAGCGCCTCCTGTGTGCTTTTCTCATTACTGATCGTTTTTTCTGCTTTGCATCAGAGGAAGGGGTCTCAGCAAGGCTAGTCCCTCTCCCTGCTAATTGTAGTTATTCTATTCTTTCTTAAAAATCACTAGTGACAGCAATTGCACCTTAGCAATCTGTGTTGGTGTTAGTTATCCTCACTGTTGGCAGTTTTTTCCTCTAGCCTGAATCTCCCCTGCTGTAATTTAAGCCTGTTATTGCATGTCCCACCCACGGTGTCAGCAGACAGGAGCGCAGCGCACTGGGATGCAGGATTTCTCCCTCATTGCTGGAGGAGTACAGGGAGAAAGGTGGTTGATTCTCCTCCTTAGGAGGAATCTTGGCTGCAGGGTTGCACAATAATTAGGCAAAGCACAAAAGGAAGGTCTTTATTGCCAGCCCTGAAAGCTGATTAAAGATAATTCTGTAGGTCACACCTGTGGTGATCTGGACACAAGGGACTCTTTGGCAGTGAGGGCTAAGTGACATCTTCCATCCAACTGAGACATTTTACTGAAGAGCTTTGAAAAGTGTCTCAACCAGTACAACCAACTTACATAAAGGAGGATTTCAGAAAGCCCCTTAAGCCGTTGTTACCAAACCTCTCTTTCTCCCACCACTCAGAGGCTCTATGTGCTCTATGCAACAGAGTGGTGGGGAGACATCTTCTAACTGAACCTGCTTCCAGGGATGGGTCACACAGAGAAAACGTGTGTCGACATAGATCCAGTTTTGTGCTGGCACGGTTGCATGGCTTTCAGTACTCATGATAGTTACCTCTGCTAGTGCTGGCTGTGTTTCTTTGATGTGATTCTGGACTGTGTAGGGAAGACGTGGTCAGCTTCACCTGAAGCTCCCTGGGGTATCACCAGAGCAGAACTGCATTGCTCTCCCTGTGCCCCATGAGAGGGTCAGCCCTAGCTGAAGGTCAGCTGGGTACCATGGGAACTGAGTCCCTTGAGAAGATCTCTGCTGAAGAGTATGATTCAGAATCCTAATTCCCTTTCTTATTTTGGAAAATGATGTATTTGTATACCTACCCTATCACAATGGGAGATTGATGTACGAATGAAGTGATGACTGATCAAGGATACGTAGCAGGTCTGTGGCAGAGTGGGAATCGATTTAGTTTTCTACTGACTGTCCCAGCAGGTCTTCCACACTCACTAGCTCAGGTGTTGTTTCTGTTATATCAAATGATTAAAATAAAGGCTTGCAGTGATTTTTAAAATGCTCAAATGCAGGTATTATCTCCTTAAAGAGTTAAGTTCATGCCAACGTTCAGTGTATCCTAAAGCTGGTTGTAATGTCTCCTGTTGAATAGTAATTTATACTCTGAAGCATACTTATATTTTAAGTAAGTATATTGCAATTGCTGGGAATTTTTGTTTGAAGCATAGTTTAATTTTGCAGTTCATTATAGACAGGTGGAAGAAACTTGTATCTGGATCAAAACCTATCTGAAGTCAGCTGCAATATTTTCCATGGCTCCAAAGACCTTAGATCATGTCCTAAGACAGTATAGAATAAAATAATATCAGTATAATAAATACATCAAAAGGTTCTCTGCCCCTTTAACATCTTGATTCGATTTAGGGCGGAAGTAATGTTAAGCTGTATTAATTTTAATGCTCTGTGAAAACAGCTTATGTTTTCTGGAAAAAAGCTGGCAACCATTCAGTGTACTACTGTCCCAGAAACCTATTTTATGGACTTGGTCCTCAGCATGCTCCTCCCAGCAAGCAACACAATGAGCTAAGCGAAAGACTTTTTTTCTGGGAAGCACAAACAGTGGAAACTCTCTGGATTTCCAATCATCCTGCTTAAAGAGGAGAACAAAGTGCTTTCTGTTGATGATAGTTTCCCAGTTTCTACTAGGTAAAACACAAAGGCTTTGCAGGGACATCCAAGGCATGGATAGACCCATGGAATATCTGTTCAAGTGAAGTATGGACGCAAAGGGCATGTAGTCTTATGAAATCACATGCGCTTCAATGAAATTAGTTCTAGGCATTATATTTTTAACTGTGACAGTCACGTAGGTCAGTTTTTTAACTCATTAGCTGTAATAGTCTTGTGGAAACAGTTATTGCTGCCTAGTTGTTTTTCCTCACTGGAGACAAGTGCATGACAGCACAGTATCACAGTCCAAAGGAAATTTATTGTCATCTTTTAGCCTCTTGGACGTTATTATGATGGAAGTTACATCTTAGTAATTGTTTCATGCTTCCTAATCTTCGTAAGTTAGGGCAATAAATAAATGAGTAGCTTCAAGGATAAACTGAGGTGGAGCTTGAAAGACCTTTTCATGGGATCTGTCACATTTAGAGTACTCTTCTTTTCACTCACAGCATGCAAAATTGGACCTGCCTACGTCCTTAAAAAGCAGCATGACTTCTGTAATGCTAGAGGAAGAGGCATGAACAGAAGACTAATGCTATCAAAACCAGAGGGGACCTTTGAGAGGAGGTTGAGCAAACATCGGTTAACAAATTCACTTTAGGGCAGGGATATAGCTTTGTGAGGTACCTTTCAGCCTCCTTGTTCCTGGAAGTGATTGGTTCATACCAGAGGTGGTGTATGCCCATAGCCAAGAGGCAGTGGTGTTCATTGCAAGAGATCTATTCTTTGGAAAAGTTCCCAAGAGCAGGAGTACCTGGTGCTGTAGGCGATACTGTAGCCACTACATGGGTATGTAAAGAAAGAGATGGAAATCGCGCTGAAATGTTTTATACTGAAAGACAGTGGCAAGTCAAAATCTAGAGAATTTGGAATGTACTCTTAAAGCCTCATGAGATCAAGAGAGTCTCTTCACTGACTTCAGAGATCTCAAGATCAGCTTTTCATCACACAAAAATGTTATAATTGACTGCAAAATACCGTCCTTGGCATTAGACATGGTAAAGTTGTTAAGTTACTGTAAAGCTCATAATTAAAATCTCTTAATGGAGAGTTAAACTAATTCTTCAGTTTATCAAGTGTTCATAAATTGTTAAGCTTTATTTTTCAATGATAGCGAAACTTACTGCTATTCTTAATTCCTCAAGCCAACACATGCAGTCCCGTTCTGCATATTGTCCAAGCTGCTGCTGAAAATATCTTAGAATAACAGCCACTGCTGCCACAGGCAGTGGCATTTTTCATGGCAGGCCAAATTCCCCCCCGGGCGCGGTTCTTGTGTGATCTGATCTAGGTGGTCCTGCTCTGGCAGGGGGATTGGACAAGATGATCCTTTGAGGTCCCTTCCCATCCCTAACATTCTGTGATTCTGTGATTCTGTGATATATACTCCAAACCTTCCAGGCTTCTGCACAGCACTTCCACACTCAAGACTTACTGTTGCACATAGAAATCAAAAAGAGTGCACATAGAAATAATGAAAGAGTGGTGCATGTCTTGAAAACTGGCTTATCATTTAATGAATGCCAAGTGTTTATTGAAGAAGTATTGTAACAAACAGTTGTATTTTCCTTTTAAATGCCCCGCAGATTACTAGGGGCCTACGGTGTAACTATCATTAAGTAGTTTTAAAAATGTATTACAGTAAAGCAGCAACTTTTTTACATGCTGGCACAGAAGTGTACCAGGAGAGAGTGACATTGGTTTGAGTCTCTTGAGCTAGCTGGCTTCTTTTATTGCAACTAAGGCATTTATTAGAAAAATTATCCTGTGATACTGTCTAAATGGTGTACAGAAGAGTGAGGAAATGCCTTGCATAAATTTGCTCATGAAACTTTGACTCTCTCACCTCTCCTTCTAAAGGAAGTGACCATGACAGTAGTTCAAAAAGCACTAGAGTCCTCAAAGTACTGTTCCCAAGGAAATCATGGGATGCTCAGGAAGAGCAACTGTTCAGTCTCGGAAAATGTCCAGCCTCCCTGGTAGCAGCACGGCCAAGTGCTCCTGCTTGTCCTTGGCCTGGCTTCGTCCTGCCACAGCTGGTTCCTCGCTGTGGGGAGGTGGTGGCCAGGGAATGGGGCAATCTACCTGCTGAAGTCCTGCAAGACTTGTGGCAGAGAGGAAGGGAGAGGGTCCCAAATCCTCTGCTCTGCCCCTGCGCCCCTGGTTGGGTCCTGTACTGGCCCTGGCTGGGTTCTGCAGGCAGCATCAGCCGGGCTGTCCCCGGGGGTTGCAGAGGGGTCACTCAATGTCACTGTGCAGCACACAGCTCATTAGCCCACAAGAAGCAAATTGGCATGTCGCTTAGGAAAGAGCATAATAATCTCAAAAAGGCAAAGTTGCTTTTTCTGTTTCCCTAAGAGAATCAATGTCATTTGAAAGGATGTTATAAAATCTATTTTAAAACACTGCAGGATATAAAACGCGGTGCCCTACAATCAAAGCTGTTCCTAAACAGAGAGAAAAAAAAAAGTGATCTATTTGTAAATAGCTTTAGATCATAGTAGTGTTGCTTCCCATAATATCATCATGAGTTTTATGATTGAGCGTTTTTAATAAAAACAATCTAGATACTGAGATACTGAGGATAGGTAAGCATCTTAACTTTTGTTAGAGAGTAATTTACTGTATGGTTTTAGAGAAGAGCTCAAAGAGAAACCTATTAATGCTTATAGGACCAGAAAGCAAATAAAAGGAACCTGAGAATGGTTAAGTTTGAAATCTAACACATCTCAGGGCCAATTCATGATTCTCAGCTATACTATTATTGTTGGAAAAGCTTTAAATGGAGGAGTCAGAATAGTATTCTATACTATTATGCGACAGATAAAATTCCCTTTACCTTCAGAGAAAACACTATGTGCCACATTTAGTCTAAAGGAAACCAGTTTATGACACCTAGTGGACAAGGTGAACATTTCTTACCCTGGACTATATTCTGTCTAATCATATTTCGATCCCTCCCCCTCCTCTTTTTTTTTTTTTTAATGTTTTGACTACCTATTGTGATAAATTTTATGCTAAAATTGCATTAATCTTGTGAATGTTGTGTGCCTGAGGGGAGTGCGTGGGACAGAAGACAGCTGCTTCCTTTCCTACTGCAAATTATTTGAAATCTGATTTACCCTGAACAAATTGTGTCAGGTAGTAAATCCATCACAGAGCCCCCATGATATTAGCAGAGTAGCAGTGCCTGTGGCCAATCTGCATATCTAGTAGATTTTTTTGCTCGGTGCTCTTTAAAGTAATACTGGGTTTGACTAACCCCCAAATCAAAGTGCATTAATGTCAAATCGCTCAAGCGTGTAATGAGTGGCTGAGTCTGTCCTGGCAAGCTCTGATACCACGGTAGCTCTCAGCAGCTGCTCCTGACACAACCAATTATTGCTGGTATTAGTAACTGTGCCTGCACACTTGAAACAGCTCCCAGTCCTATAGCCAAGCACCATGTTAGTGAGGGAGCTACGCCTATGCCTAACCAGCCCCATTTTCCCTTCCTCCCCAAAACCACTATCTGTTGTACCCCTGCTGGCTCTCTGATCTCTGGAAAGCAGGGTTCCCTTGTGGGATGCCAAGGTAAGTACTTGAACTGGAAGTTGGAGTCTCGAGCTGTTAGCGGACATGGGCATAATGATTAGCAAGAAATGCTTAGGAAACCAGCTTTCTGCTTTTTCATTCCTTGCTGTGCATCACTTCACTATAGCAGGGATGCTCTGAGGAACCATGCCTCCAGGACTCCTGTTCTGCACGCTCAGTACTGACCTGACTTGCTCACCTCCCCGTCTCTCATCAGCCAAGGGGACCTGTTAGCTCTGGACCCCATTTTCAGCTCTTAGATTGCAGCTGGAGGAGAGATGGACCTGATTTCCCTTCAGGATCCCCCCATTAAGAAGCTCCCCTGAATGTGGTACATATGCTTCAGATAAAGGTGTGGATCAGTCATTGCCAAATGCCGCGAGGATGATAATTTCATTGTGCTGCTCCACTCTGCCTTTGCTTAGTAAGACTGCCTTGTCCTAGGGAGAGCAGCCACGGTGTAGCACACTGCCCTCACCGACAGTGTGGTCTCTTTGTACCTTAGGACTGAAGGAGGAGTTTCTAAAGGTGCCACCGTTGGTGTTCTCCTGGATCTGAACAAGCACAACCTGACCTTTTACATAAACGGGCAGCAGCAAGGACCTCCAGCGTTTGAAAATGTCGAAGGTGTCTTCATGCCTGCGTTAAGCCTCAATCGAAACGTCCAGGTAGGTCTTCTGCAGTTCAGCCCCACTTACCCTTCTCATCTGAAGGAGAACGTATACTGCTGGCCATTGCTGCTGGGGCTGACAATATCATCTGTAGGTAGTCGGTATGGATAGGGGCTCTTTCCTTCTCAGACTGACATCTAGGCTACTAAAACTTTTCAGAAAACTGTATTTGACCTTCTGCCTTGCCTCACAGATGTGAGGAGTAATGCTGTAAAAACAAGTAAAAGTGCACACACTAATTCTTCCTACATTTATTTTGCTGCAATGCTCCACTTAGAAAGCAGCAGTGCTAAGGCTTCCTCTGCCAGTTTGACTGAAAAACAGGAATATCCTAATTCCTCTTAGGTCTTATGTTTGGTAATTATTGACATTGGCAAGAGACAGAAACATGAGCAGCACAGTGGTAAGGAGAGTAAAGAGGTCAGAAAATTAGTGCAACAAAGAAGACCTTTGAATAATATAATAATTTTCTTATATTTAGTACATGGGCCCCACTGTGTGATCCCTGTCCTGAAGTACTCGGAGTCCCTCACACAAAGACACCATCTGCCTCGTTTCTCTGGTGGCTGGATTTGGGAAGAGATATGGACACCTGGCTTCTAGACCCAAGGTGTTCAGGAGGGAAGGGGGAAGGAGACTTGTTTATTTCAGGGGCTCAGTATCATCTCCATTAGTATTTTTGATGACTTAAACCTGGACCTGAAGTCCCACAGCCCTTCCCCTGTCATTTACTTGCTCTTGGTCTTCATGAATGCTCTCTGCTGAGGATGTCTCATTTTGAATCCGTGCTTTATTTCTTCTTTGTGCAGGTGACCCTGCACACGGGACTGGAGGTGCCACAATGTGTAAAACAGCCCAAGTTGCCCAACAATTAATCAAGCCTCTGCCCGACCCTGTGCTGGATTCTGTAAGCTTTCTCAGTGTGATTTGGCACTTTTCAGTAAGTTGGTAAAAAAGCATTCTCTTCCTTGACTTAGACATCGTACAGCATGTTGCTCACCGAATAATCCGCTGCTTACAGCTAGCCCACTCCATTTTTAGTTTAACAGCCATAGCAAGCATACCCACAGAACTGGCACTCGATTGCAGACGGGTACCTGAACATATCTACTACACTGCATTGCATACACATGTACCCACATGTGCACGCACACACACGTACATTTATAAAGTAAAAGGTTAATTGAGTGTATTTTCTGTCTCATGGCTGGATTTGTGCTTAAAAGATATTAGGGATGCCGGAAAAAATGGGTAAGACTAAGACTGAAGGGCAACGGCTGTTGGAGCAATTTAGCAATAGGTGAACTGGATTGCCTTGCCACCTGAAGTCCTTAAATCAAGAAAGCACATGTTTTGACAGCTGAAGTGGAGGCTGCGTGCTCAAGAATTCCTGGTTGTCTGTTACATTAAGGGGCTCAAATGGCCATTAATTATTCCTTCTGGCTGTAGACTGCAGTAAGCTATGGGGGGGAATTCAGAGGCAGAACTTACCTCATTATCTTCAGCGAGCATAAGATTGGTTTCTGAACACTGCCATGTAATAGTTGCGTTCATTTTAGCTAACACCATGTTACATGCAGAGTTCAGATACAAAAAGCAGAGAGAAAAACATCCTTTTACTGTTTGTTATTTAGATATGATTGTGGAGATTGTCATCACAAACGGAAGATCTGATTGTGGTTATCAGCACAACTCTTGAAAAACAGTGGAGGGGAGATCCCTTTGAATTGAACTGATAATAATTGATTTATTTAAATATGGCACATGCAAAGTATGCCATGTAGAGAAATGCCGCTTTCCCGCCTTGATCCTGATAAGCCCTGGGCAGCTGTAGTTCCAATGTAGCTTTGAGATCAGAAGCCTTAGTTTTCTATTAGATTAGTGTGAGCTAATTAATGTCTTGATCCTAATGAAGCACTTGAGCGAGATTCATAGCATTAATGTGAAATCCGGCCCTAAGAATTTTTCTGGATTGGGACATAAATCTTTTGCAAGACTTACCTGTGTCTGGCATCTCCCCTGAAAACAAGCAGCCTTTTCAGGTGCTGCCCATGACAACTGGAGTCTGACTGACAGGGAACTTTTCCCATAGCTGTGGCGCTGTCACCTGCGTGCTGTTGTCAAAAAACACGTTGATTTATGCGTGTGCTTCTTTTCCTCTGAATCCAGTTAACATATGCAAGTGTGTATGTGTATAGCAGCAATGCATAAGGACAAGATGCCGCAGACTGTGTGAGCCCATGACATCTCTGACTCTGTTACTCTAATCCTACGTAAGCACGGTGCTATCAAACAAGAAAAGCATAAGCTTTTAAATCCCATTGATGTACTACTTCCTTTTTTTCAATCCTGCTGCTTATATGAGTTTTTCTCTCCAAGCATATGTATACGCACATGCATATTGTTATCAGACATGTAATTATTAAACCTGAAAATGAACATTCTATCCAAAATCCAGCTTACTGCCTTATGTTAAACCACAGCCACAGGACAAACAGCCCAGGCCTGCCTTCGGGCAGCCGGCCGGCCCCCAAGCATCCCGCCGCAGGTCCACTTCTTGTCTCTGGCTGGAGCACATCACTCAGGTAGTGCTGAGCAATGGCAAGGCTTCCCTGTGGCAGAGCGACCAGGATCCTCCCTGGGGTCGTCCCACCTCACAGCTGTTTTGCAGAGGGGGAGGCAACCCAAAATGAAGCAGTCCCGGGCTATTGCACAGACAAAACGCAGTCTGCCATCATGCTGCCTGTAACCAGCCAAGCATCCTGTAGCCCACCTCTCCTGGAGCACAGCAGTGCACCTTCCGTGATGTCAAGACTGAAACAGAAAATAAAACTGATGATGGGAAAAAATAACATAAGCTTTTAAGTGGGAAAGCAACGGTACGTTCTTCAAAGTCTAGAATGGATTGTATTAGTAAACTTGTAGACGTTGGAATAACTGTGCTATGCTCATCTTGGTTTCTTAAAGAACAGCAGAGACCAACTGTGTTGCAATTTTCAGTTTTGTTTAATACCATATGAACTCGTGCAGAATTTTCTAATTAGCGGGTCTATTTTAACCTACCTCAGCTAGAACGCTTACTGGACCCCGAATTTCCTCGAGTATGCTCTTCTATGAACCTAACAGTTGTAATCATAGCATTGGCTTTGAGTATTGCCAGTCGGAACAATGTATGGGAATAATGTACATAAGTTGCACATAGTTTTTTATATTGGTAAACATCCCGTGATAATTTTAATACAGAAAGCACTCCACTTTCACTTGTTATATTAAAAACAAAAGAGTGTTGTTTGTTTTGAGACTGAACCTTTGTCTTTACTCCAAACTTCTGTGAAGGAAATTCAAATGAATCTACATCTTTCCAATCTTCAGCCATTGCCAGGTGTTTAAAATTAGTTCTGAATGGGTTTTAGAAGTGTTTGCAATACTCAGTTTTGGTTTTCACAGTTTCTTTGGTATCGGTTCCTGGTGTGTTATACCTTGGGGAGAACACAGTGAGTGATACAGGTTACTAATTTCTAATGGAAATATGGACAGTAGGTAGGGACATGCTTCAGAACTGTAGAGGAGCTCGTTTGTTATCCTCTACGCATTCTAACACTCATAAGAGTAGAGTATAGACTAGCTATCATTACAGTCTCCTTTTAACCTAGCAGAAGGGCAAATAAAGTAAAAGGAATACAGTTAGAAGTAGGTAACCTGCATTAGTAAGACTAATTTAGCCTAGGTCAAAAACTAAACAAAGTGGTTGCATGTGTGGTTGTGTACACACTTAAGGACTTGGGTTTGGCCCACAGCAATAAACCAATTACCCCAATAAAGTGTAGTCTCCTGGCTTCAGCTGGATACATTTTGGTAGTTTGATTAACAGAAATAATGCTTAAGTAGTTAGAATTATACAAGGAAACTAATTACTCCACACCTGAATATTTATGCAGAGCATCCAGATGGCAGTGGCCATCTGAACATAGGCAGAGCAGAATTTTCCCTTTGCAGAACAGCATCAGATGGGGAGAAGTGGGACACTTTCACTTCTCTGCTCAGGTGGGAGGTAGTTTGCTTCTCTGCAGGTAACTCCCCAGAGGTACGTGTCATTCATTGTAAGCCCAGCAGTTCACATGTTCTGCATCTACAGCATCTCTTATGCCAGTTTTTGTTTCCTCCACATCCCTTCTTCAGGAGGGAGTCAGCCTTTAGTACTATGGTCCTTGCAGGAACTGTGTTGCTGACTGTCCAGGGAGAACCTGGGGGACTGAAAAGTAGCATAGATACCCAAGGAGACCACTTTAGATGCTCGTTTCCTTTTGATTCCTTGGGGTAGTTGTGCAGCTCTTTGGGATTCCAAGCTTCTCTGGCACCTGGACCCACACTTGGGTCTGCCACGGCCTGCCTTTCATGGGACTCTTCTGCTCCTAGAAGCCAGGGTGCTCCTTATAAGCAGGAGAGCAGAGCCTTTTGTGCTGGGAGGAATCCCATCCACTATGGTACAGAGCCCATACAAAGTAGCTGTAAGTTGACTTAATGTCTAAAAAACCCCAACAAAACCACAAACAAGCCATCCTCTAATAAACATAACAAAGCTTGACTTCTGCATAGGCCAATTTGCAACCTCTGCACAGCTGCTAAATAAATACAGCAGGCAAACTTTCTGTCCTGCAGAGCAACAAGGGACTCTTAGTTTTGATCTGCCCTTGTAAACCTCAACCTTAGTATTTGTGAACCTTCTTCCTGGCTCTTTCCTCTGCAAATTTCCCTGTTGAGTTTAGTGGGAACAGAGGTGTGCCATCAGGAGCATTGTCCGGCTTCCCAAGGCGTGCCATGCTACACAATTTCCACTCCCTTCTTTTGCCTCATCAACTCAAAAAGAGCTCACAAGAAGATCTCTTACTAAGACTTAACGTCAATATGAGCACAGGCCTTGTTGATGATCCCTTACTACTTCTGCTGTGAAAAGGTATGCACTATAAAACATGTCAGTGAAGACTGTAGCATACTGTGACGTATCATGAATTTGGAAAGCAATTTGGCTTCTAAAAACATAGAAAAGATAGGCACACAGCACTGTCACCTCTAATATTTGCCTACTCAGTGAAGATACATAGAAGAAAATATATTGGACTGAACAAAATAAAATTTAAAAAGCATGAGCTTACATATATCTGAGATTAAGAGGAAAAGTATTAAATGTAAGTTATTATATGCATAACGTTCCATCGTGTTGTAAATAATGCCATGATAGTGTATTGCCGTAGTTTATTCTTGGCTGGTGATAAGAGTTTTGTCGTAGTGCTGTGTAAGCTTTTATTTTATTTTATTTTTTCCCAAAGTGTGGTTAGTAAAGATGGCAGAGAGCACCCAATACTCTGGTTTCCGAGTTGTTCTAGAGCAAGAAGAAACGTGAGATGCAGCTTCTTTCTTTCTTACATAGTAATATCTCTTAAACAAGGTAAGAGAGAGAGATGAGATCAAGGCTACGCTGCCACTGCCCACACACGAAAAACACTGTGTTTGCAACTGCCAACAAGCGGTGGTGCATTTCTGCACCACAATTCAGACTACTTCCTGTGAGAAGGGATGCAAAGCACCAGCAACCTGATACAGCAGCTGTCTGGTGCCATCTAGTACATCCTTTGCTCACAAACAGAAGGATGAGGAAAGAGACTTGTTAGACCTAATCTCAGGCCTTACCAGCTTTGCAGCATTCCGTTTAAATAGCAAAGTCAAGAATTCAACTTTGAACCAGGCAAGATAACGTGAAAACCCCAAGCATCTTGGCTCGATCAACTTTGGAAGGGAGATTACAGTTTCAAGTCCTTCAACAGGTTATGGCAACAAATCAACCACATTGCAAATGTAAAGGGCACTTGTCACTGAATATTATCAAACAAAGATGGAGAGTCTTTTTTTTTATTATCCTTTTTTTTTAAAAAAAAAAAAAAAGTGAGCTGCTTCTAGTTTTTACTGACAACATTTCTGACGATTCCTCTGCACTACTGAACGCTGCACACACACAGCCGGCTGGAGCGGCAGCCTGAAGCACAAATCCTTCATAAATAAGATGCACTTGGTCTTCTAAGGTGCAGAAGCCCATATGCAAGCCACAGAGACTAGATGTGTGGGGCTCCTGCATCTTTGCACAATACGGGAGACAGACGTGCATTTTACTGACAGAGGCATTGAGCAGCATTTCCCCCTTCTGTTAAGCGAGCTTTTTGTTACATTTGGTATTGCAGACAGATCCAAGCAGAATTAATTACAAAATTATTTTTTACACTAATTGGAGGATTTCTAACATTTTCCTGTGAAGCAGTAGATAGAAATATTCCTGGATCCTGGTTGCATTCCCTCATCCTCCACCTCCCTTAAATGTTGTCAATAAAAACACTAACCTTTCTAGGTAGCATGGTGAGAAGATATTATGTGATGAATATTAAAAATAAATGCATGAGGTAAACCTGCTGTTATTTCTGATTGTTACATGAAGCATGAATAACACTAATTTAAACGTTGGCAACCAAAAAAGTGCAAAGGAATAAGATAACAGTGTTCAATTCTGGTTAAATGAAAGATGAGAAGTTGTTTCTGTTTTCTTCTTAACCACGACATTTTTTTCTGTATCATCATTTGCTGTTGCTTATATGAATTTGGAGCTGGTGAAATATACATCTCTGCTGTATGTGTCTGTCACCAGATCAAGAGGAAAATACAAACTTTTTATAATTTTGTACCTGTAGCAAACGTTTGTATTTTTTGAATTGGAAACAAACTGCTTTTTGTCTTTTGGTCTGACTAAAAATTTGTGTATTATTATTATTACTACTACTACTACCTTTTTGGAAAACCTGACATATGAGTTTATGCTGTTTTACAGTTTCTAAATAAATTCTTAAAACATTGCCAACAAATTCAGCATCAGTACCCTATTTGTTATTACAAATTATTATGAAAAAATATTATGTCATAATGTAGACGAGGCAATTGCGCAGGATACACGCCTAACTCTAACTGTTGATAACCTGCTTTGTTACCACAGTCAAGAATAATCTGGTAACTGGAGAAAGCCACGAGTCCTCCCTCAGAGCAACCATCTGTGCATCAACTTCAGACATACCCTGGATTCAGTGGCATGAAACACTTTTCTCTCTCTCTCTCTCAGCACCATTCGTTTAGCTCTCGCTCACGTTGGTTATAGAGTACCTGGGGATGTGCTGTTTAGCTCCAGCCCATCTTGGACACTTTGGGTGATTTCTCATTCTTCGAAATTTCTGACACTGGAGTAAGAGCCTGGAAATAACTGTGATACCAGTGGGATCCGATTGGAAAGGCCTTTGAGTAAGTGTAAAAGTCAGAATGGGCAGAAAGTGTGTCACAGCAGGAAAGACAAGACTTTGTGAGATGGTTTAAGATGACATATCATCTTGGAGCTGCACACCTCCACCTTGTGAGGGACTGAGCAATGCTACAGAGGCAGCACACTCAGCCCCTGCAAAAAGGCACTCATTGAAGCTATGCGACCTTCGTGAATGTCTCTTAATAAAACAGAGTAAAGTACGCCGACACACTAACAGCAGCGCCAGGGTAAGAAACAGAACCGTGGCCAAAACAATCAGGAGTCAGTACAGACAAGAGTGTGGAGACACTGTCCATCATGGCTTTTTTTTTCCCCCCCTGCAAGAGAAAACTCAGTGTCAACTCCTTCATGCCAAAGGATTTGACTGGGAGGAACAATCATCACAACAGTTTTAGCATATGGGGAACTGGAATAAAGCTAAATGTCACAGGAAAAGGCATGTGAAAGAGAGCACATAAGGAGAAATCCTTGCATTCTTCCTTTATCCCTCATTCCTCTATTCAACTGCAGGCAGAGGGCCGAATAAGATGGTCCCTGCTCTCCCTTGCCCATAATCAATCAGTTATTCAGTCAACACTGGCTTTCATGTATCAATACATGCTCTGAAAGCAACACAGGTTGCTGCCTGAACATGCACTTACATGCTCTGTTAATTACTCTGTTAATTAATAACACACGCCAGTTCAGAGAAACACTAGGTGCCTAACAGGTTCTTGTTTGCCAAGTGTCAGTTGTTATCACTTTTGTTAACGCATCTAGTAACCAAATAGGATGAAGGTACCATGTTTTCCTGAGAACAGCATCCTACAAGGATGTAGCATGGCCAGCTCAAATCACCTTGGGGATTTGATATAAAAAAGCAACCTATCACCATATCACAGAAACCTTTCAGAATACATACACACCAATGTTAAATGAGTAAGAAAATGCAAGATTTTTGGTTTTGTTTTTTTTTTTTTTCCCCCTAAGCTTTCATGTTCCACTGTTAGCTTGGCATTTCAGTGTTCAACTTATTTTAAGAACGGAATTTTTTTCAACTCTTCTTTAACAGAATTTACAAGCTTGAGACCAGGACTGGAAAAATCAGACACTCTATTCTGACCAAGTCTCACTCCTAAACAGCTTTTGGGAGCTGTGGAGGTGGAAAGTGAACCCTTTAGATTACCAAAGCTGATTGAGGACATAAACTCCCACAACACATTATACCCAAAGCCAGCTGAACAAAACTTTATCTAGAAGTGAGCAGTGAAAAACCAAGCTCAAGGACTACTAGGCATTAAAAAAAATACAGGTTATCCCACAACATCTAAAGCCCATCTGTTACATCAACAAGTCTTGATGCTCTGTACTGCTTAGTGATTACACCTTCACACACAATCGTGATTTGACATATCTCTAAGTCTGTAGCAGATAAGATTGTTAATCCTGGTTTGAATCTGCAACCAACACTAAATAAGAAGAAATCAAATTACACAATTCAGAAATGTGGTAACAGTATCTGCACAGCCCTCTGCTTCTCAAATGGCTCCAGAAACACTCCCTCCTGCTTTTTACCCAGCTCCCATCCGCTCCGGGCCCTCTCCCACCTCTTGGTCCTCTCTGTGCTAGTAGGGCACTTCTCCAGGACCTCAAAGTAAGGTGGAAGGTGTGGGGGAAGGAGTGCACCAGAAAGCATCTCCTTCTGTGGTGTGGCTCTCCCCACACCAGAATACTTTCCTATCCCGTGAAGGGAGAACCCTCTGATGCTGCTGTCTGGGGAGAGGTCTGTGCTGCTGTTCTCGTAGCTAGCTGCAAGCTGATGCAGACCTCGCTGCTCACTCAGGGTTAGAGATCACCTTCCTTGGGTTCCCTGGCAGCAGCCAGGAAGCATGCTTCACTTCGCCAGCCCACAGGGGTACGTTGAATTTCACCAATACACCTAGAAGCTTCTCCATTAAGGGCTGTTTTCCTTCTGTATACACGTGCTTCACTGCCAGAGCTGTTCAATACAAGCTCCAGATAACCTTACCTAGAAAGAACACAGCATGAACTTTTTCCTCTGTTGTTTAACAGTTAACCTTATTTTTGCCTCCCCCTAAAATATTCAAGTTTCTTTAGCTTTAGGTAGAACAGAGAAGAGATTTCTGAAGGTTACTAACCATTGCCATTTCTAACGGAAACACCACCTTAAAAAGAAAGAAACAAACAAAAATACAGCTACAGAGGACAAAACTCTTCTTTCAGAAACACCAAACTGCTGAAATCCAAATAGCACTAAAACTTCAGTTTTGACAAAGATTTCATAGAAAAGCCTCATAAGGCATGGGAACACTGACCAATACAAAGGTGAGTTAACCATGAACAACCAGTAGCTACTGAGTGCCTGTGCCTCATTTGTCTCAGTCTTACATGGTTTTGTTTTTAAAAACAAACCAAGCAAGCCACCAAACCACCATTTGAAACAGTACTTATTTGGAGATCTCTGCAGAGATATACAAGTTGAGTACGTAACTCTTACCTGGGGCAAAACTTCAGAAAAATCTTATTTTCATTCCAGAACAGATAATTTGTAAACCTTAAGAGGTTTTGCTGGACAGGAAAACTGTAGTGCAGTTTCACTATCCACTAACAATTAATAAAGATACAGAAACAGATGTACGCCCAATAAATGTTTAAGAATACCTACTTCAGGTTCAGAGCAAGTAAGGTATTGCTTTTTCCATGTTCCTTCCAGATGGAAGTGAAGAGCTATATATTTTAATCCACTAATTATTGGATTAAATGAATATTTTACTTACAGCCAGTAAGATAATTCTAGAAAGTGAAATGCTTTCTTTAGCGCGTATTGACTAATAAAAACAGCCTGTGTAACATTCTTCGTAAAAAGTCTCATTTTTATTTATAAAATGGTAAATTCTCGTATTCTTCCCAAGGCACAATGGAATACAGAAAATCCTACAACAACAAATTAGGTAAAAAAGAGTAGGATATGGTGGGAAGGTGAGAAGCTCTGTAAGTCTGTGTTGGTAGCAACATGAATTGTACTTTATGCATATTGTCCATTTCACTCTGTATTGTAAGTTCATTTGATAACTTTAGATGATTTAATTTTCTTTATGTCATAGCTTTGCAGAATCAAGGTCCCATCTCTGAATTTTCCAACTTGTCCTGCAGGCCAAATGCTAGGCACCGATTTCTTCCTTTTGGCCTTCCTGAAACAGGAAGAGGAAAAAAACAGAATTAAGAGAAACAACAGAAACTCATGAAAATGTTTAATATGGTGAAAAATGTCAGCTATTTATCCAATCAGTGTTTAGTAATACGCAATATCAAATCATAGCAGGTAATGATCCCAGAACATTTATTACCTGCATAGCCATTCAAATTTGCAGCACATTACAGAATAATTTACATTCCAGTTCCTTCCACTGGAATCTGCGTGACTTCTGGTATAAGACTGTGCTTAGCTACATAGGGGAAATACACTGTGGAGGCTATACAAAAGCAAGTTAATTTTAATCATGTTAAAAATGGCTCACCTCTCCTTCTGTATTTTCTTCTTCTTCTTAAGAGAATCACCTTTCTGTTCCTGTTTTTAAAGATACAGATTTTAATGGGAGCATCTTAACTAAACAACTATCTGCACACAAAATACGGTTTTGCTTCACGGAGCAGCAGGCATGTAAAGCAGGTTGGGAGACCTTCTAGCAGGCCAAGTGACGCAACACATTACAGAAGCACTGCTAGGAGTGCCCAGAGCCCTTCCTGTCACCTTATGGAAAGTACAGTCCTCTCACGACCAACACGGTGCCCCTGCCACGCGAGGCGACACAAATCCAGCTGCACAAGAAAGAGGCTGGCTTCTTGGGCACGTGACAAGATCCTTGAGTCAAAAGATGGACTTGCTACCAGGCAGGTGTGTCAACCATGGCAAGGTTCAACTATGTCTGGTCATGCACTGGATGCACCTTGAGACACCTGACAGAGGAGGAGAAGTAGGTCCCCAGTGAAAGAGGGTGGCAGGAAACAGGCTGACAGAGCAGTTAATTACCTGTCCCGCAACCTGCTCCCACCTACACGAGAAGACTCCATGGAGAGGCAGGGAGTAGGCTTAGAGCCAGATGGGCTGTGCTGGAGGATGGATGCAACAGAAACCTCACCCTCACTTTAAATAATGAGCAAGATCCTAGATGGAATTGTGCTGATATAAAACCAGCTGAAGATCCGGCTCTCTGTGGTTAGACAACATGCAACCAACTTTAACTGAAGGCCTTTTTTTCCCCCCTCCTTAAGAGGCAAGGAAAAAAAAAACCCTGCTGATTTTGTGTCATCAGTCTATCAGTCTCAAAGGATGAGGCAGCGAAACCCACCACAACACAAACCTAACTCTGTGCCCTTCATGCTGCACAAAACCAGCTTTTACCGATGAGATTAAGTCCTGCTGGAGCCAGGAACCCACTCCATGAGGTGCAGCAGGTGTCAAGCTCGGGCACTCCTCCTGTGCCTGAGGCATTATCTGTCAGGCTCTTGGACTAGCTCTTACGTGCTGTCTTTATATAGAGAAAATTTCACACAAACCTTTCCCTTATCATCATCCTTTGTTGTTTTTTTCTCTTTCATTTTCTCCTGATAAGTCCTGTAGTTCACATGTTCCTTTTTGGGGGGCTGCAATAAAGATTGGGAGGGATACCACTGATGAAATTTTCAAATAGGTTCAAAAAACATTCACACACTTGCATGGACAATATTTTTCAGGTGGCGGTGGTGAAACATTAGAAATGGTTTATTTCCTTTTGGGTGAGAGGAGGGAGCTTAAGGAATGTAAGGTAGACACATAGAGACTGTATCTTTCTTGGTGGAGACAGTGGAGAGGGATGTTTATTTCATAGATTTCTAGGTTGGAAAAGACCTTAGAGATCATCCAGTCCAACTGTCCCTAATCTCCCATTAAACCATATCCCTAAGCAGTTCATCCACCCTATTCTTAAACACATCCAGGGATGGGGACTCAACCACCTCCCTGGGCAGCCTATTCCAGTGGCTGACAACCCTTTCAGAGAAGAAATACTTTCTAACATCCAACCTGAATCTCCCCTGACTAAGCTTATACCCATTTCCTCTTGTTCTATCACCCATCACTAATGTAAAGAGCCCTTCCCCTACCTCCCCACCATCTTTTCTCAAGTATTTGTAGGCTCTAATCAGGTCTCCCCTCAGCCTCCTCTTCTCCAGGCTAAACAGCCCCAACTCCCTTAACCGCTCCCCATAAGTTTTATTTTCCAGCCCCTTGACCAGTTTAGTCGCCCTTCTTTGGACTCGCTCCAGGAGCTCAATATCTCTCTTAAAGCGAGGGGCCCAAAACTGGACACAATATTCCAGGTGCGGCCTCACCAGTGCCGAGTACAGGGGCAGAAAGTACTGTAAAAAGTACATTCTGCCCCGCCAGTATCCCATTGGCCTTTTTGGCCACCTGGGCACACTGCTGGCTCATATCAAGCCGGTAGTCAACCAGCACCCCCAGGTCCTTCTCCGCCAGGCAGCTCTCCAGCCACTCTTCCCCGAGCCTATAGCGATGCTTGGGGTTTTTATACCCCAAGTGAAGGACTCTGCATTTGGCCTTATTAAAGCTCATGCCAATATAAGCTTATATTTATGCTCTATATCAGTCCTACAAGGTTTCCACATACACACTGAGCTAGAAAGAAAACCCATACCCCTTCCCACTCTGCAAAAGAGACCTACAAAATTATTTTCTTCTTTTACCCTACTGATGATAAATGAAAATGAAAAGTTTTCTTCATCTTTAACTCACTGGAAGAGTGAAACTTTACAAAGCAAGCCCCTCCCTTCAACAGTTTAGTTCTGAATGGCTTGCTTAAAAATTAGTAGATGTTGTTTTCTATCTTAATCAGTCATATTTCATCTATACAACACCTCTGATAACACAACCATACTAATTTTCCAAATGTCTACAGAAAATAGACAAGATAGAATAGAAAATGTAAAAGTAAGGACAAAGTTGGAGAAGGGGCAGGGCAGGGGATCTTGTGTTGTACAAAAGTAGTGCCAAACCCTCTCAGTGCTTTTTACCAGTTTCTTGCACAGTAACAGCTGAGTGACTGCCCAGCACAAACCAAGCAACAAAGTACCTTGGCTCCCAGCATGATTGCACGCTCCTGTTCCCATACACGTTGTTCGTGCTTCTTGTAGCCAGTAATTCCAAACTTGTGCACTTCCAGCCGAGCCTAGAACATTACAGAAAGTTGCCAGCATTTTGTAATTTGTCCAACCTGTTCTAAAATAACACTTCACAGACCACAACAAAGTCATATACTCCTAAAGAAACCCTTGCTAATACCTGAAATCAGGATGCTATAAAACAAAACTACCTGAGTTGGGAGCTGTTCTGCAGAAGAGTTAAGCACTGTCCATCTAATCATTGGACAGTGAGGATTGCTAGGGGGACAATGTTCTGTTCTCTTCATTTCACAGAAAACAACACAAGGAACCGTTCTCCTCTGTATAAAAATGAAACATGCTGCGCTACACAGAGAACAACGAAACGTGCTACTACAGCACCCAACGTTTACAGTGTCTTCATTCCTTGGCTGCAGAGCATTTAACAAGTGAGAAACATGGATGGATAGATGGTGAAGTGGTTTGACTATACACATACGTATAGCTGAAACTATACAAGAATACCCTGTCAAAACCAGTGATGAATTTATAATCCTTTTAAAGGCAGTGGTTAAATCCCCATTGTTCTTAGCTGTATGGAGCTCCACAAAGAATCTCCAGTGAGGGACTTCACTGGATCACAGCATGTCCCTACGCAGAGATCAGGCATATAAAACAACTTGCACACATCTGTAAACGAATATCTAAGGTGGCCAATGCTACTTACGCTCATATAAGAAGAGATGAAAACAAAAAGACAAATGGAAAAAAGTAATCTGCTGTTCCCAAAACAGATGCCAATATGTGTTTTTTTTTTTCCCCTTCCACACGAGATCACAAATCCAAGATTACCACCATGGGCCTGAAAGAGCTATGCTATACATTACGGGTACTCACATAGCTCTACGCAGCCAACATACAGTGACCTCCTCAAATTCTCACCAAAAGATCAGAAAGAAAGGCCTCAGACTTGTAACACACCTCTCTTCACACAGAGCAGTTGTCAATAGCCAGCACGCTCCTCCTTTGGCATGGCATGCAGCCAAAATTACCTATTACGAAATCCTCACCTACAAGAGACAACCTTTTCTGGAATCGTTTTGCATCAGTCCCACCATAGCTTTCCCAAGGACATCAATGCACACACCTGCACAACTAAAATAGTGAGATTAGATAGGTCCTGCTGACTTACTTTTTCGAAGTTAAATTCTTGTTCCTTTGCATTTTTTTCTCCATCTTCTATTTTGGCCTATAAACAAAACAAAACACTTCAAATTAATATAACAAATTTAAAGTTTAAATGCTGATTATGATAGTTTTTTGGAAAGCAGTGAAATGTAAAATGAGTTGTAAGGAAGACTATACAGCTTTCCAGCAGTGTATTTTTCTAGCTTTATTACCTGAATTTATTAAAAGAGACAGTCTCAATGGCATTTTTAATATGTAATTATTATAGGGTCTTACTGGAACAACCTTGCACAATTTATAGGGTATCATTATAACACAGTGCATATAGAACCATAGAATGGTTAGGGTTGGAAGGAACCTTAAAGATTGACTAGTTCCAACCCCCCTGCCAAGGGCAGGGACACTTTCCACTAGACCAGGTCGCTCAAAGCCTCATTCAACCTGGTCTTGAAAACCTTCAGGGATGGGGCATCCACATATTTTCTGGGCAACCTGTTCCAGTGCCTCACCATCCTCAGAGTGAAGGATTTCTTCCTTATATCTAATCTAAATCTTCCCTCTTTCAGTTTAAAGCCATTGTCCCATGTCCTATCGCTACACTCCCTTGTGAAAAGCCCCTCTCCAGCTTTCTTATAGGCCCCCTTTAGGTACTGGAAGACTGCTATAAGATCTCCCTGGAGCATTCTCTTCTCCCGGCTGGACCCGCCTCAACTCTCGCAGCCTGTCTTCATAGGAGAGGTGCTCCAGCCCTCGGATCATCTTTGTCCTGCATTTTCTTGCCTGGATCATCTGCTGACACTTAGAAAGTGTTTCATAATTCAGAAAGATATTAAAAGCTGCAATTAATTTTTATACCTTCAAGTATAAATTACATTTCATAAGAGAAAACCTGCCACAGGGGAGCTATGTGTCACGCACATTTCCATTTCCAAATCTGTACCAAACTGCTAATGCAGGATAGGACATGAACTTCAAGTCATCTTGTTTGAGACACGGTGATAATAGCTCACGTACCGATAGCTGGTGGCAACACGCAGAACAAGCTTAATTCGTAACTGCATGGACATATACTAGTGCACGTATCCAGCTTAACTCATGCAAAAGCAAAAACTCCAAAGGAAGCACTGTCAGCAAATTGCAGCCCCCGCTTACCGCTGTTTAAAGAAACTACTTGCTCAAAACAAGATCAGAAAAAAGTACATCTTTTCTACTCCGCGATTTACACAGAGACCTTCCATCACCAGTTCTCAGTTTGGAGGGGATTTCTCCAGGAGGGACAGATTGTATCCTAGGAAGAAAAAGAAGCGCAAAATTCCCAGGGAGAGCTCCACCCTCACTCACCACAGGAGCATCCCGCATGGGACACCTCAGAGCAGAAACAAATCTCACAGGGTTATTTTAGGTTGTGTCCAACTCTTGATATCAGGGAGGACACGCTGAGCCACCTCTCTGAGCAGATGCTCTGCCCATTCCCAAGTGTGCTGATGCAGGCAGGCAGCACTAGCAGGGACACGGAGGTCTGTTAAAGAGTAGCATCCCCTTATCTTTCCCTGTTTACTCTCAAGGGAGCTCTATCCCCTCTGAGGAAGTGGGAGTAACACATATGCATTTGAACTGAACTGAAATGCTTTTAACGAAGTTCTTACACACAGCTCCAGGATGTTAGGTCACGTTGATTCACAGGTTCAGGTCCCAGGGTTACATCAGGGCTTCCCCCTGCATCCAATAGAGCCAAACGCAAACTTCTCTCAACTTTCCAAAAAAATCTATATAAAAATTGCCCATTTCAACTACAAAAAGAAAACCCTGGTTGTTTTCAGAGCATTTCACTAACAAGCCTAACACCAATCTTTTAGGGCAGAAAAACTTAAGTTGTAAAAAGCAAGAGAAAATAAAAGTCTAGAGCCATTTTTAGAATAAAACATGCTGGAAAAAGCACAAAAGTTCATGGATTCCACCAATTGCTTGGTCAGTCCCTTCAACTTCCCAATTCCAAGCATTCAAACCCCAGATACCAGTAAACCTCCCTGAATTCAAAACGGCAATGTGTTGGCCCATCAGAGCTTATTTCAGAATTGAGCTTCTGATGTTACGGCCATAAACACAACTCTGAGAAAACAACCAGAGAACCTATAAGATCCAGAGACCAACCAGCGAGCAAGGGACCATCTGCTCAGTGTGGAAGGCAGCTCTGCTTCCAGTCAAGCCTAATCTGGGCCTCTCTGTTAAAATAGCTCAGCTACAGTTTTTGGTAGCACAAGGGAATTTAGCACCCACAAATCAAGCCCTAATAGAGTTAAATCTGACCAGGGACATCAAAGGCAACAAGAAAAGAAAAACTTCTATAGATATGTCAGTGATAAAAAGAGATCTAAGGAAAATGTAGGCTCTCTCCAGAAGGAAACGGGGGACCTGGCTACCCAGGATATGGAGAAGGCTGAGGTTCTCAATGATTTCTTTGCCTCTGTCTTCACTGGCAAGAGCTCCAGCTGCACAGCCCAAGCCACAGAACGCAAAGGCAGGGACTGGGAGAATGTAGAACCGCCCACTGTAGGAGAAGATCAGGTTTGAGACCATCTAAAGAACCTGAAGGTGGACAAGTCCATGGGACCTGATGAGGTGCATCCGCGGGTCCTGAGGGAACTGGCAGACGAAGTTGCTAAGCCACTATCCATCGTATTTCAGAAGTCGTGGCAATCTGGTGAAGTTCCCAATGACTGGAAAAGGGGAAACATAGCCCCCATCTTTAAAAAGGGGAAAAAAGAAGACCCAGGGAACTACAGGCCAGTCAGTCTCATCTCTGTGCCCGGCAAGATCATGGAGCAGATCCTCCTGGTGACTATGCTACGGCACACAGAAAATAAGGAGGTGATTGGTGACAGCCAACATGGCTTCACTAAGGGCAAATCCTGCATGACTAACTTGGTGGCCTTCTATGATGAGGTTACAGGATAGGGGAAGAGCAACAGACATCGTCTACCTGGACTTGTCTAAAGCATTTGATAGCGTCCCACATGACATCCTTGTCTCTAAACTGAAGAGACATGGTTTTGATGCATGGACCACTGGGTGGATAAGGAATTGGCTGGATGGATGCACTCAAAGAGTTGTGGTCAACGGTTCAATGTCCAGGAGGCTAGTGACGAGTGTTCCTCAAGGGTCAGTACAGGGGCCGGTGCTATTTAACATCTTTGTTGGAGACATGAACAGTGGGATCGAGTGCACCCTCAGCAAGTTTGCAGATGACACCAAGCTGTGTGGTGTTGTGGACACGCTGGAGGGAAGGGATGCCATTCAGAGGGACCCTGACAGGCTGGAG